ACTTATTTATACTTATTTTATTTAATAATATTTATTGAAATATGTTGTGCCCCTCCAATCGTTCTAGTTTATTTTTCGTGGTAATTTTTTACTCGCTCGAGTGAAATCAAGATCTTTCAAGTAGTTTGGTTGGCATTTTATTGTGCAGTATAATTATCTCGCATTGTTTTATACTTTATTGTTTCATCACTTATAATTGTATATCTTACTTTACTACGCGTGCCTCGGAAACTTTGTTCTTACCATGGGTCCCGTCATTAAATTTAAATGTTGAATACATTGCAGTTGGAAAACAGATTTTTTCTGCACAGAAACTGACGTTTATTTCTTTCTATAAGGCCTTCGCACAAACAAACCAACAAGTTTAATCATTTGTACAAAATCTTAATTTAAATTTTGAGATTGATTGGACTAAAAATCTTGATTAAGTCCCTAACTTTGACTTTGTGCACAAATCCCAAAAATTCCAGCCTCTTTTTCCGCGATTTACATGTTAAAATTATGTGGGTATCACCCCAATGAAACCAGTGTTCAAAATTTTTTCCTAATAGTGCATGGTATTACAAGTAAAATAAGCCCTATCTCGAAGGTTTGCCTTAAAAAACTTTTTTTATCAAAACGGGGAGACAGAAATGAGAAATTTTTTGTGGATTTTCTTATATACACATACACCGATATGGGCTATATGTATTAGGCCACATTTTTTTTGTAGTAAACAATTGTTTTCCTACTATTGTTATGGAGTTTTTTATGAGGCGTCACACCTTTTGTTTTATAAAAATAAATGACACGTGGAAAAAAAAAAGTAATAATAATCATTTCTAGAAAAGTTGAGAATAGAGACATCGATAAGGCTCATACGCATGTGTACTTATAAATATTGTACATGCAAATTGAAGCTCTATTAAACGAATGCATAAACGCAATATTATTTTTTATTAGTTAGGTCTTATCAATTTAAGAGTTTCAATAAGAAATGAGTTACCATGAAGCGGCTTGATTTCTTTGTAAGAGTGTCAGAAAAATTTTATGAAAACAACTTTAGAAGAAAAAATGGATTTGAGAACATTAAATGTTTTGTACAAACTCAAATACTTTAAAATAATAGAGTGTGTGGTGTCATAGGCCTTTATCCAAAAAATTGACGTTAGTATTTATTGTGTCATCGGCACTGATATCTGGACAAACATATACTGTAAGCGAATTTTGTCGTTAATTTTAATACATAACTTACACGTAGAAAATGAATGTAATGATTAATTAAGACTGTAATATCTTAAAATAGAGGTGGTAAAATATTGAAGGCCACCATCCTCTGAGTGTGGGTATACGCAGAAAGTGCCTTTTGATACACATTATGGGTAAGGAGTTACCTACACGTGTAGAAAAATAGAAATAAGTATTTACCAAATATCATTGAACTGCAGCTAACACTATTAGGTGATATTTTACGACAAAATGTTAACAAAAAAGTATAAAGTTTTGAAAAAATTTTTTCATTCTAATGGCACGAATGTAACTTGTAAGTAAACTTTTTTATCTGGCATTAATGATGAGTCAGTTAAAAATGCACAATTTAGTGTAAAACTTTGGAAATCTTAAGCTTTGAAAAGTGCATCTTTTTAAAAATGTTTATGAGTAATTTTCCATAAGAACAGAACACCACAAACTACTTTGTGTAAAAAAACTGACAACAGTGCTTCTTTTAGTGTAAAATATCTAAACGGTACTAGTTGTTGTAACAAGTTTTAAACAGTACAAGTCGTTGTAGTACGACGAAAATAAAAAAATTAGGCTAGTTAAAAAAATATAATCACTGTTTAACTTTCTATGCAAGAGCTGTTCACAAAGGCAGTGCTATTTATTACAAACTCTTAATTTGAAAAATGCAGAAAAAATTTTCATCAAATTATGGATACATCAGCGCATCCACGAAAAATCTCCTGAGGACCGCAGCCAAGTCTACCGATGCCATCTTCACAAATACCCCAATTATTTCCACAGTAGTAGTGCCACCTAAAGACACAATGTGGGCATACAAAGTCTTCAGGCAGGTTAGCCTGAATTCTAATGTTGCTTGTGATTCCTCCCTTTACTTCGTAACGTCGATTACCATCAGTGAGGTAAATGGGATGTGCATCAAAGCACTCCTCGGTCTCGATGTCTTTGGTCGAGTTAAGAGGACACAGAGAAAATTTAAAGTATCCCAAGTGATTGGCGTTTAAGTCGACTGTGATAATGATCTGTTCCCCTGGGCTGTACCTGTGTCAAAGGTTTCATTTAAATGTGAGAAAATTACACAGAGTTTAAGTCATTTTTTTTAAACCCATAAAACAGAAGCTTGCGTTACAAAAAAATGCTGTTTGTCTTAAAAATATAACGTTAGCTTTTAACATAACTTTACCATTTACAAAAATTTATAGTGTCTTTGAAAATCGTTTTTTTTTTTTTTTGCTTAAAGAATTACATCTTTACGTTTTATCAATACGTGACATTTTAATACCTTTTTAAAAGTAATTTAACTGAATCATACATTCATTTAATAAAATATTGGATTCAGTGGATGTGATTGAAATAATTACGGATGATTATCATAATGATGATAAATTAAATGTGAGCACTGAAACGTAGTTTCTGATCTCGAGTAAGATTAATAAGTAAAAATATAAATTCATAAAAAAACGTTTTTGCTTATCAGAACAAATACTTTGACATAACTTGAATCATTTTTAGCCATTTTTTTAGATGTAGGATAAAAATATTTTTAATTAACATTTAAATGAGAAAAAATNATTTTAACTATTTTCTTAGTAACTTGAACTTACCGACTAACGATCACTCCTTGGCCGTAGGTGCCACCATTTTCATTATCTCTTGGTCGAGGTTTGGACCAATCGTCACCACATGGTCCGCAGTTCCCCTTATTTTTTTCATACTGGACCTATAATATTCGTTAATAAAATATAAAACAATATTAATTCTGTTTATTCCATTAACTTAAATTTCGTTAACAGAACTACCATTAACTTCTGCTATTAGTAACAATAATTGTCAAAAGTTTCATAAAATGAATGATTCAAAGAGTATAAAAATAATGTACATAAGCAAATCTAAAAAAAGTATTCCATTTTTATCCCCCATTTTAATGAAAAAAAATTTTTTAAGGCACACCCTTGAATCCGGGCCTATTTTATTCGATGTCCTATAAGGAAAAAAATTTGGGACACGAATTTTCGTGGGAGCGACACTCTTTTTCCACGATTTACGTGTTAAAACGACACACGTTTACGATATCTGTAGATGTAATTTTAGCACGTGAATCGCTGAAAAAGGGAGTCTGTTGAAATCCGTTTTCAAAACTATTTCCTCATAGTACACAGCACTACAAGTAAAATGAGCCCTGTTTCAAGCGTTAATCTTAAAAAAACAGTTTTATTGTCGTAATGGGTGAGAAAAATGGTATATTTTTTGTGGATTTGCTTATATCCATAATAGATAAGACATCCAGAAGAATATAATAGGTTATATTTTTTATTTAGCTGAGGAAAAATATTAAGCACTTTATTATTCAATGAAACTGTGATATATAGTTTTGGATACGTTTTCATTTATTTGTATTAAGTGCCAAGAACGAAATCGATTTATCATAAGTAAAAAAAAAAAAGCTTACCGCAAAGCCACCACAGAAAAGTTCGTTGTCACTGAAATTTTTCGTAACGTTGAACCCTTTTCTCCAAGCAGATGATCTACCCACTGGGTCCATAAGTTTGCCGTGAGCATTGACATTCCAAATATGCAAAATGTTTATAAGGATGCACGTAACAATTACTTTAAAAATCATAATTCAACGATATTTTTTATTATACAACGAAAAATATTTAGTTCTACTTTTCTTGTCAAAAACTGTATAGCACGAGTTCGTCGCTTTCAAGAAGTGACAGATCGAAAGGATCGTGGAATATTTACTCACGAGACGGCTTTTATACGATAAAGCTCTCGTGTTTGCACTTTCAAAAAATATTATGATACTTGTCTTGCAGTAATCTTATCTGATTATGAAGTTAACCGATTAATTAACTCTGTATTGTTAATCAAAAAAATAATATTTAGAGTAAAATATTATGTCAGCTCATTGCCTTTAAGTAAAATGATTATTTTGTTTTTGTTATTGGAAAAAACAATAGAAATTACGTGTCTTGACTTAATTTTTATTTTAAAATGTAAATTTTATGTCAATTTATTCGATTCCAGATGATGAAGCAAAAAATAAAAAAGTTGTTTCTGCATAGCCTAGTCTCTTTACCTAAACAAAGTAATACATCAGAGGTTGGAAAATATGTCCGATTGAAGTCTGGCTGTAACAGATTAGTCACTTAGTTCAACTGTTGTTTGATTCAATGTTATTTTATAGTAAAATGGTCACTGTACAATTTGTTGAAAGAGACACTCTACATGAAAATAAATGACTTGAATAAAGAATTAAAGTTCAAGACTAATATTTTTTCAAAGTAAAAAAATATCTCCAAATTGTATGTTTAATTCACAATAAATAAAATAGCCTAACAGTGGTTAGTTAACATGATCCACAGAAATGTAGTTTATAGTATACTGCATTGGTTGAAAAAAAAATTAATGTGCCGAGATTATAATCTTAGTTATTGTTAAAAAACTTTTAACAGTTTCCATTATTTGTATAATCTTAAAAATCGACAGTGCACAGTGACTGACACATGTATCGACATTGGTTTGAGAAGTTTATGACCACAAGGTCAATAGAAGGAATCACCTTGGCATATTGCGATCTTATATATTTAAGTAAACATCAATTTAATTGAGATTTGTTCAGGTGAAATTTTGGTTTATACAAATATTATTTTTTGTAAAGAAATTTGAAATATTTTTTTCTTTTTACCAATGTACACCAACAGCATTCGACCTAGCTGCTAGTTATTTAAGAATAATAAATCCTATTTTTATTATTTTAGACAGTCTATAGTTATAAAACTAAATAAAAAAAAAGTATACAGAAATAAAGGAGTGAACACTATGCTTTAGAACAACCAAATCATTTTTAACAAAAATTAAAAATAGTGCTTTGAAATATCTCAAATAATTTAGCGTATAGTTATGTCAGCACAGCCACGGAATACCTCCTGGTTACCGCAGCTGAGTTGATTAGAACCGTCGTCACAGAAGCCCCAATTATTTCCACAGTAGTAGTGCCACCTCAAGACGCAGTGCGGACATTTGAAGTTTTTAGGCAGGACAGCTCGAATCTTAATGTTATCTCGAACATTTTCCTTTACTTCGTAACGTCTATTACCATCAGTGAGGTAAATGGGATGTGCATCAAAGCACTCCTCGGTCTCGATGTCTTTGGTCGAGTTAAGAGGACACAGAGAAAATTCAAAGTATCCCAAGTGATTGGCGTTTAAATTAACTGTAATTTCAAATGGCTGACCACGGCGATAACTGCAGAGAGAGTTATAATTTTATGGATCATGAGCCAAATTTATTTCTGTTCTAAAAAGTTTATAGTTTCTTTTTTCATTTATTTTTTTTTATTATTATTTTTTATTTTATTTGAAAACGGTAATTTTATTTTTATGGTCACCTGAAAGTGAAAACTAACACTGAATAATTCCTTCTGCAGTAAATAGTTCAAATCTAATTACAGAGACCAATATATTTATAATAAATTTATTGGTCATGATAACAATATACATTTACTTTTTTTTTAATTGCGTCGACGAAAAACTTNGAGGATGCTAATACCAATATTCATACAATACCTGTTGTTTCAAGTCATTTCGTTTAAATTTTTTGCTTTTGACTCTAACAGTATGAAACTTTTGGAAACTGTTAAAAATAATGTTATTTTTTATCTTATAAGCAATCATAGTAAAATTACAAGAAAACAAATCAAAATTTTGCTCAATTGAGGTTTTGCACTTAAACTAAAACTCTAGTACTTAATCTATTACTTTGATCTACTCTTATCATGTGGAAAAAACTTACCTGTTACTCTTTGAAATCAAGTTCAAAATCAATTATTTAAGATTCAGAAATAACTGTAATTACTTTTATGATTGATTTTTTATTCTGATCTACTTGTAAGTAATTTTAAAACTAGAAAAACTTTGTATATTACTAACAACATTTATATTGGTGGTCAAATACATGTGTAACAAAATTACAAAGATGCAATCGCTTAATAATATGACAATGTGGTACATGTAACCCATAATAAAAAAATTGAAAGTAGTTTTTTTTAATTTCCAAAAAATACATCGTTTGTGACATACGTTATATGAGATTTAAATTACAGTATTAAAAAAAGCAAACAACTTTGATATGACTTATGAAAAAATTCTCCGTGAAACATTAGCTTATGTGTACACGATTGGGTTTCAAAAACAAGGCTGACTATGTACACATTGTCCATAATATTGCAGTAAAGTAGTAGCACCTGAACCCATTCATAAAATTATTCCTGGTAAAACAAATTCACGTAATTAAAACCTTTCAAAAACATCAATTGTCACCAAAGAGTGACTATCATACATATAACCGGAAGCTTGTACTATAATATACTCAATAGTACAAATTTTAATAGTTAATATCTCTTTGAATTAGTTTTTCTCCTTCAACTATGTTTCGGTGTCATTCGAAGTCTTGAAATTCCAACTATCAGGTACTGTATAAAGTTTGATTAAGAATTGTCAAAAAAATTTTCCATTTGATCCCCCTTCCAAGTATTTATGTTTTTTTCATCATTTCAAGCAGTTCTAAAGATTGCATGTGCAAAGTGATTTACGTATGATGAAACATTGAAAATAAAACGTTTATGACAGGTAATGTAACAGCAGAAAGAACACGATAAAAAGGTCGATCAAATAAAACATCTTGGAAATCCCGGATCTTTAAGTATATAATTCACTTTGAATCACACAGTTGAAACTTTAGTTTATGCAATGGTATTTTTTTTAACGAAATTTATAAAATAATTTTTATTCTAGAAATATGCAGATGGCAGTTAACATAAAATAGGATTATTAACATATTTTACCTATTTTCTATGAATCTAAAAATGTGAGAAAATAATATTGCATTTATTTCAATTTTTTGTTATTACGTAAACATTTTAATTAATATTTTAAATTCCATTATTAAAACGTGATCTAAAATTATTAAATTATAGTGTTTAACCAATGGTGTGAACATTCTATAAAGATAAAAATTTAACCATTACACACTTCACATTAAAAGTATTGCATCAGGATAATGGAAATAAATTAAAATGTACAGAATCAATTTTTTTTTTTCAAATTTCAACGTAATAACTTATTTTTTATTGACTCAACTAGCTGGATCGACTTACGCAATACTCATTGTACAGTAAATGTGTTCGTTGTAATAAGTAGTTGTAAAATACAACGATTTTATTCAATATGAGACATCACTCGCACTACAAACACAATTGAAATTATCTATGATATATTTATGTTTTGTGCGTTAATTTTTCATTATGCCACACCAGCTATCCATTGTCCTAATTAAAAGATAAATTTTCGATGTATTGCTGGTGGTAATACGAATGAGTTCATAACATTTTTTTAATATAAAAACTATTAGACACTGTACGCATTTTTTGCATAAAGATCATCATTGATGCGGATGTAAGTAACTGCTGAAAATGTAAACGCGACACAAAACAGAAGAAACGATAAACGATCGATTGCCGTCGCCAAGAGTATCCACTCCAACCGTTTGACATGATCCGATTGTAAAATAATACTCTGCCGATCACTGTTCATAGATTCATTCATTACTGCGTCTTGAATAGTCAGATCAGTCAATTCTCGGATTTCTATGAGTTTTTGGAATTCCATCTTAAAAAAAGGTATTTACAACAATTCATTATGATTATCATAAGTATGTCGTGTAAATAATATTATAAATAAATAAACATAACTAAGCTATCTAGATCGATTAATTTTTTTACTTCAAGAAACGACAGGAATTTAAAATTTTATTAAAACAATACACAGTGAACCTTAAAAATTATTAATTGTTTTAAAAATAGTGTTCAAAAGATCAAAATCAAAGTACAAAGTTTTCTATCATCGTTGATTACATATTTGTACATCAGTTATTGGGATTTTCTATACTTGCAAGTTTTACACTTTTCCTCAAAAGATCTTTTATAATATGTTATTTTGTGCTTCCCCCAATTTGGAATATAAAGTGACCTTTAGCTATGCGTAACTAATGAAATCAGAACTCGACTCAATCAATCATTTCATTTGGTAACGCTATACAATATCTTAAAAATTTTTGAATTATTATTAATGTTTGTAACTATACAATACATTTTTTCTATAACTTAATTACTCAAGATTTATATCCAAGCATAGGTGAGAATAAAAGTTTAAGTTTTAAAATATCAGGTTTTATTTTTGTTTATAATTTATTTTGCTATTTAAATTTTTCATTTGAAGTCCAATTTCTTCAGTTTAACATTTCTGGTAAAATCTAACAATGTATTAAATATAAT